TGAAAATGTCGCAGTTCTTCCATGGCCTGCATACTCCGACATGTCACCCATTGAGCATGTTTGGGATGCTCTGGATCGACGTGTACGACAGCGTGTTCCAGTTCTCGCCAATATCCAGCAACTTCACACAGCCATTGCGAAGTATAATATTAGAAATTGTTGCATGTTGCATTTATATTTTTGTTCAGTATAGTTGATGATCCCTGATGTATAGTTATGTTTTTTTGTACTTTATTTATAGTATTGGTATATACTTTGACTGACTGATGTACATCTAATTGCTTATCAGGGATAATAAAGATATTTAAACTATCAGTGATAGTCTACGACAACACGTGACACCAGTCTCGTGTCTAGAAGAACATAATATTAAAACACCAATTTTTGACACTACAAGAACTTTACTAGAATTTGATCCAAGTTCATTGTCTATACAGGGTATATTTATATCATTGGCTATACAGGATATGTTTACAAGGTCTGAGATCGGGGGGGAGGGAGAGAAAACAGAACACTAGATATACAACTGAGGTATTAGCTAAAAGCATGTACAGGTGTCATTTACTAGTAAATATCAATTATGATCAACGGTTAAAGATGCAGTGTCCTCTGCTTAAAAAAAACATATTTTATATCACAACATGAGGTAGGAGAACCGTGTCTCGTTTCATGCAAAGAACAAACGTCTCGATCACACTGCATTGTTGCTGGCAACATGGTATGCAACAGTCATACACAGACACTCACTGCCATACATCTTTCACAATATAGCATTTTAAGAAAAAGAAGTTAAAAACTAACAGCCATAAAAATATTTTATTATTTTTCTTTTTTTAAACTATAATTTGTCAGGTGTAGCCTACTAAGTTTGAACTGAATACATGGCATACACGTAGTGATAATACTCTGAGAAAATCAGTCATACATAATAAGAACCATTTTTGTGGAATCATATTAAACAAGGTGTAACATCCTAGCTAGTTCCCACACTGCTAAATAAGAAAACGGTGTTCGTAAAATAAATAAATGGAAACAATTCAGCGGGTCCAAAATCCAATTTGTTGCTATTGTTACAGAGTACTACCTCTTCTACAATACATCACCTTAATTAAAAGGGATAGCTCAGTGATTTTACTTTTAAAAAAAAAAAATATATATATATATATATATATATATGCAAAATCGCTGCACTATCCCTTTAAGTCTGGGAACAATCCATTGGGGATGGATGTTAAAAAAAGAAAAAAAAAGATGGAAATGCTAGTTGCTGTATAGCTCCTGGAGGAACGCCAATAGTCTAGTAGTAAGTGGGCAAAATGCACACCTATAAAAAAAAACTTTAAAAAAAACTGTACAAAGCACATCTGAGGACGAGTCCCAAATAGTACCCTATTCCCTTTATAGTGCACTACTTTTGACCAGGGCCCATAGTCTTCTAGTTCTCATAACACTGCAAATGCCAGAGGGCCCAGCACACTGTGTTATAGCATAGTATTTATTTACTTCAGTCCATTGTATCCATCATATCATTAGCATGGCATTCAACTAAAGTAGATAGAGCGCCATCTTGTGTATAAAATTCAATTTACACCGACAGAAAATAAAAATATATAGAAATCCAAGAAATACATTTGATACCCCAAAACGATTGTTGTAGACTGTTCTAGAGGTAACTATGGCGATAATAACAAAACCTAATACTGATTATCTTGTGATATAAACAATGCAGTCACAAGGACCTTATACCCCCAAGACGACAAGGTGTTGTGGATTAAAAATTAGGACACAAACCACAGCGCTACACGATAATAAGTCTCTGCCGTTTATCATAGCTACTGTGCTTCCGTCACTGGCAAACAGACGGAAAACACACATGCACACAGACATGCGCTCAGAACCAAACACACTTCTCTCCACCTTGCAGAATCTAGAGACTACATTTGTATGGTATGATTAGGTAGTTGGACTTCGTGTGACAGGTCAACAGCTTGTGTGTTAGGTGGGGAGGGAGGGAGAAACGTGTTATGTATGTCACAAATCGCACACTATTCCCTATATAGTGCACCATTTTTTTTTATCCAGAGCCCTATGTGCACTAGAGAATAGGTTGCCATTTAGGACACCAACACTTCGTTTTTATACCATAAACATATCAAGTCAGAAATCATTCAACTAACAAACAATATTAAGGGGATCCATTTACTTACATGCAGACCTTTTTGTTTGTTCGGTGCATTTTCAAATTGTCTGGGGGTGTGGTTTAGTGTAGGAAAGGGGAAGGGAAAGCGAACAACAGCAATTTTACACCCTTTGGCATGCCTCAAAAAAAATTGGGGACAGCCAATCAGTCTTGAATTCTGCTATTGTTGATAAACGGTAAACAAGAAGGCTCCCTGCTGCGTACGATGACGTCACTTTGCGGAGTGTCCCTTTAGCAGGGTAAACAACGACAAGTCACATCTGAACTCTTCAAAGACTCAAGCAACAAAAACATAACGGCTGTTTAGCGGTCTTGCCTGGTTCAGTCAATTTTATAATAACCTTTAGAAGACTGTTCCATAATATAGTTAGGCATAGTTAATATATTAAATGACTAATGTATGTACAAAGTGAATATAAATCTTTAGTTAATACATTAAAAAATGTTTTTCAAAATAATTTCCATAAACTTTTGGAACAACGGTCGGTAGAGCAGTATGGATTGGATTTGTTCTGCATGTGATTGAAGTTCACATCAGACTGGGTGTTCATTTCACAGTTGTTTTGTGATTTTTTTTTTCTTCTCCTCATGAAAATAAGGGGTTTTGTAGCTTTGTTGAAACGTTGAGGCTTGATAACAAAATAAGACCTGCTATATTATAAGTACTGTGACAGGGCATGGTGTAAACACTGTTCTAAAGGGAACTCTTTCTTTTGAGATCTGCATTGAAAGGGCCGAGCACAGTGGAATGTCTATCAATTTGCATGTATAGCAGATGCATAAAAAGATGCTTGGAGTTTAAGTCAAGGCCCTCTTTTACACACTGCCTGGCTCTCTTAGGGTCTGCCTGGGGGGGCTATAAAAGAAAGACTGCCTGGCAACTAGACAAAACCCCGGTTCTGTGTGAGCTAGCTGATTGGGGCTGGTTCTTCTGTTCGCCTGGACTTCTACACAACAAATATCACACTACCCCCCCCCCCCCCCCCCGGCTGATGTGGCATTGCTTTGGTGTGTGTGGGAAGGATGAGGGTAGTGTGTGGCAGAGAGAGGGGGTCTCCTGTACCAGCTCCCCAGGGGCAAGAGTTTCTCGCTCACTCACTCGCCCACTCTCTCTCTCTCACGGAGGGGAAAGAGGCAGGGGCTTGGATCCTAGGCAGCCAGACCACACCGTGTGTCAGTCTGGACTAATTCCTTTCACCTGTGACCTATATTCCCCCAGGCAGACAGCTAAATGCTGCTGCATTCACTGAGTGTGCGTCCCAAATAACATCCTATTCCCCTATAAAGTGCACTACTCTATAGGGAATAGGGCATTACTTTTGTCAAAAGTAGTGCACTATACAGGGAATAGGCTGCTATTTGGGACGTACCCAGAGTCTCACAGAGGAGAGAGGGTGGCAGGACACACCAACTGTTGCCAACAGGGAAATCAAATACAAACTCAAAATCTAAAACAGGACAAACTACAGCTTTCTGAGAGGAAATATGGTGCGTTGTGTGTTCTAACCCAGTGGTTCTCAAACCTCTCCTCTGGGACCTCCAGCCGTTCCATGTATCTGAAGTATTCCAGATCTAGCACACCTGATTCAACTGGTCAACTAATCCTCAAGCCCTTGACTAGGTGAAGCAGGTGAGGTAGTTCAGGTTTCAGAACCACTGTTCTAGCCAGACCAGTTCAGGGGTTTGTTGTTGCAGACTCCACATCTTCATCACTTTCATCCACATTTTCCTGAGGTTTAACAATGACGACTGCAAATGCTCTGTAAAAATGTTTTCATATACCTTTATGATTTACACATTTAGAACTTGTTTTTTAAACTTTTCTCTTATTTGAAATTAATAGGTATAAGGAATTATTTTAAACAAAGGTGAAATGAAAATGTGTGTCCATGAAGTCTCCTGTGTGGCTGGTAGCTGGGCCAGAGCGCTGGACTGTCTGGGGTGGCTGTATGAGATGGAGAACGCCCACGCGGGCGCCATCTTAGCTCCAGTGGCTCCAGTTGGCGTGCCAGGTAGTAGTAGAAAGAGCGACTGAACGCTAGTGTAATCGCAGTTCAGAACAGAGTCAAGGGGCAGGGCCAGAAGAGAACTGTCTTTCTGATCTCTGACCTCCCAGTCTTCGTGTGGGCTACAACATCAAATCCACGATCCAAAGAAGGAGGGAGGGAGGAGAGGATGGGAGGGGAGGGGAGGGGATGGGAGGGAGGAGAGGAATGGGATGGGAGGGAGGAGAGGATGGGAGGGGAGGGAGGAGAGGATGGGAGGAGAGGATGGGAGGAGAGGGAGGCAGGGAGGGAGGGAGGGAGGGAGGGAGGGAGGGAGGGAGGGAGAGAGGGAGGCAGGGAGAGAGGGAGGCAGGGAGGGAGGGAGGGAGAGAGGGAGAGAGGGAGGGAGGGAGGGAGGGAGGGAGGGAGGGAGGGAGGGAGGGAGGGAGGGAGGGAGGGAGGGAGGGAGGGAGGGAGGGAGGGAGGGAGGGAGGGAGGGAGGGAGGGAGGGGTCCTAAAAACCCCCAACTCCTGTCTTTCTGCCAAGCAGTCGTTTGTTCTTTCAGTAAAACTATAAATTAAAACAAACAAACATATACATCCCAAAAACAGTTGAACTCATTTGATGTTCAATCAATAAACAAACAGGAGTCCTTTTCCAAAAAACTAAAGAGGAGGAGGGGGGGGGAGACATGGTGAGGGAGTGATTTCCCTTCTCTCTCTTTCTCTCTCGGAGGGGGGTTTCGTAATTTGTTTGTCTCTCTCAGAACGGAGGTGAGAGAGACGAACAGAGAAGGGGCGTTTCGTAATTTCCTCTACTTATGAGCATGGCCGTTCTGCTGCTCGGCGGGGCCTGCGGTGTGTCCCTCTGTGTGGGGGGGGTGTGAGGAGGGGGTGGGGGGCGGAGAGGGGCTCCCTGTAGCGATGGTTGTGGCCGAGGTGGAGGCCGTCTGGCACATCTGCTGTTGGAGCTGAGAGATGATTCTCTCCAGCTTCTCCCGGGCATCCCGCTCCCTCCTCAACTCCTCCTGGAGCTTCTCCCTGTCAGCCTCCGCACCATCCAACCTCCCACGCAGCTCTGCCAGCTAGAGGAGAGGAGGGGGGGGAGAGAGAGAGAGAGAGATGAAGTCAGGTTAGTCTGAACAGTACACACACACACACACACACACACTGGAAGACAAGCAGACACACACACAGCCAGTCTAAGCCAGACGCCAAGAGGCTGAAGGAGACAGCAGGAGGTGTGTGTGTGTCCCCCTGTGTGTGTGTGTCCCTGAGTGAGTGTGTGTGTGTGAGTGTGTGTGTGTGTGAGTTGATTATTCTATCCTTGTTGGGAACTAAAATCCCCAAGTGTCACCACAAGGATAATAAAACAAGGAAAATTCTCCCTTGCGGGGAGATTTCTCACATCCCCAAGAAGACAAAGGCTATCTTATGCTTAGGTTTAGAATTAGGGTTAGGGGTTTGGAGTTAGGTTCAGGGTTAGGGTTGCAGGTTAAGGTTAGAGTTAGGGGAACTAGGATTTTGAATGGAAATACATTTTAGGTCCCCACGAGGACAGAAGAACAAACTGTGTGTCTTTCTATAAAACTAGGTTACCAGAGGATTTCCTACGCTAGACAACTTGTTACAGCGGTTGACAAATCATTGACAATAATCTGCCAATTTGTTTCATGTCATTACATTAAGATAAGGGAGGAACATTGCTATAATCAATAAAATTCACGAGTTGATTTAAAATCTTTATCATGGTTGGTGTCTTGACGGATTTGTCCAAAATCGTGTGACATAAAACATTACTTTTCTGTACTTGCATTTATGGCAGTGTAAGTTGTTATATCATAATATTAAGCATTAAAATCAGTTAAATTAGACATTGAACTGGAACCCTGGAGGAATCCTGGATTTGGCTGTTGGACAGTTTTTTTTTGTAATGCACTGTAACTACGTAACACTTCGTGTCTCCTCCTTATGTTATGTTACGGGGCAAAAACAGTTTTCATGGGCACACAAATCCAAAATGATGCATGCGATTGAAAAATCAAAATGCTTCTAAACGAAAGAGTCGCCTTACCTTGATAGTTAAAACCTAAAAATCGATACTGGTTTTAAAATGTGGTTCTCGATAATTATGCATAATACCTGGATGTGCATTTGGTGTCCAGCAGATTACTTTGGGTTGACCGCATTTAGTCGACAGGCTGTTTGGTCGACCGATATTTGTTTTAGTCGAGCAGTCGCAAATAGATCATTAAAAAAATAATAATAATCCCGGCACACGAGACACCTGTCTGATATGCGCCCGTCTCAGTGGTCTAATCCGCGGTCCTAGAAGCAGGGGAGTGTGGCTCAGATGCACAAGGCAGGTCTCTCTCCAGAATGCACTCTGTCGCGCCATTTCGTGCGTGTTCATTGTTTCATGACTTCATAGTATGAATTGTTTGTCATTTGATTGTTAGTGTAAATCAATTCCCCATTACATACATCACCAGCAGTAGACTACATTTACCGTTAATTCCCATATTTTCTCACCTACAATGTTTGTTTGGTTACGGTAATTTCTGTTAATGCGTTCAATGCAAGTAAACAAAGCCTGTTTTTAGAATCCATTGAGCATGGCAATAGTTCGTTGTATTTTAAAAAATATTTCCAGCTCTCTCTTTTCTTCTGGTTAGGCAATCTTCATCTCTGGCTACTACCTCAAGTCATTTGTGTCTTAATTATTTAATCAAACCGCGTGCTTAAAGCATCAGACAAGCTCAGTACATATAGTTGATTTTATTCAAACACATAGGGTGGGTCTGTCTATATATGGAAAAATAGACATTAACATTTCAACCAATCGATTGGTGAAAAAAAAAAAAAAAAAAAATAAATAAAAAAAAATAAATAAAGACTACTCTACGTCGACCAAGAGTTTTTATTTTTTCGGGGACAGCCCTACATCATCTGATCCAGGAAGGAATTTTCTGAATGACAGTCAAGTCACGAACAGCTGTTGTGACAGAGTGCTGGAAAAAAAGGTGTCGCGAGGAATGTCCAGAATATTTTGGCGTGTCATTCATTATGCCAGTGAAGACAGTTGTGCCTGGATCCACGTTGGATCTAATATCCCTAGCGAACTGATATTAATCTGTTATCTGCTTGATTTTTCCCGCAGGTTCGATTTAACAGAGAAAGCATCCAGGTAATGAGTTCATTGTGATGTCATTGTGTAGGGTCGACTATTGCGCAACACCCAACGCTATTCCTATTAATTATTCTGGATACAAATGACATCAAATGACATAGACTAGTGGGCTTCTTCACAACATGATCTGGTAATGAAATAACATGACAAATCCCTTTTGTTTTCCATGTTACACCTGCAAGGTTAAAACAGTACAAAGGGCTTGAAGTAGCCTATTGAATTTGGAGCTCAGAAATTCAAGTACTGGTATAGGCCTACCATGAAAAAGTAGACATTTCCTTAATTTTGGTGCTTGAAAAGTCCTTGTTATTATTGGAGCCAGTTTATAAGTTCTCCTGCTCCCTTATAATTATCAGTGATTTCATTTTTGATCCGTTTTTGTGTTTCCCGCCGCTTCAATTGAAGGGTTTTGCGCTACTTTTTGGGACAACATCTGTTGGCTTCAACTTGACTTTCCATACAAATCCTTCCATTACAAAAATGAACCTGTTTTTTGGTCACTTTCTCAAGTCTCTGAGAGTCCTAATTTGCCTTTCCACTGTCTGCATGAACGCTGCTTAAAGGACGTACAGTCGGTTGTTATATAGGTAGAGTTATGGGACAATTTGCATATATTCCTCTAAGTACACATGTGGAACTACATAAACATATTTTTACTTTTTGTTTCAAACCATTTAGAAATGTTGATCCCAATGTCACACGTTGGCTGGCCCCTTTATTTATATTAAGACCCATATACAGCACATTTCGAAAGTATTCAGACCCCTTCACTTTTTCCACGTTATGTTACAGCCTTATTCTAAAATGGTTTAAATTGTTTTTTTCCCCCTCATCAATCTACACACAATAATCCATAATGACAAAGCAAAAACAGGTTTAGACATTTTTGCAAATGTATTAATGGGAGTTTCTCCCATTCTTCTCTGCAGATCCTCTCAAGCTCTGTCAGGTTGGATGGGGAGCGTCGCTGCACAGCTATTGTCAGGTTTCTTCAGAGATGTTCGATCGGGTTCAAGTCCGGGCCTCTGGCTGGGCCACTCAAGGACATTGAAACTTGTCCCGAAGCCACTCCTGCGTTGTCTTGGCTGTGTTCTTAGGGTCGTTGTCCTGTTGGAAGGTGAACCTTCGCCCCAGTCTGAGGTCCTGAGCACTCTGGAGCAGGTTTTCATCAAAGATCTCTCTGTACTTTGCTCCGTTCATATTTCCCTCGATCCTGATTAATCTTTCAGTCCCTGCCACTGAAAAACATCCCCACAGCATGATGCTGCCACCACGCTTCACCATAGGGATGGTGCCAGGTTTCCTCCAGACGTGACGCTTGGCATTTTGGCCAAAGAGTTCAATCTTGGTTTCATCAGACCAGAGAATCTTGTTTCTCATGGTCTGAGAGTCCTTTAGGTGGCTTTTGGCAAACTCCAAGCGGGCTTGAGGAGTGGCTTCCGTCTGGCCACTCTACCATAAAGGCCTGATTGGTGGAGTGCTGCAGAGATGGTTGTCCTTCTGGAAGGTTCTCCCATCTCCACAGAGGAACTCTGGAGCTCTATCAGTGACCATTGGGTTCTTGGTCACCTCCCTGACCAAGGCCCTTCTCCCCCAATTGCTCAGTTTGGCCGGGCGGCCAGCTCTAGGAAGAGTCTTGGTGGTTCCAAACTTCTTCCATTTAAGAATGATGGAGGCCACTGTGGTCTTGGGGACCATCAAAGCTGCAGAAATGTTATGGTAGCCTTCCCCAGATCTGTGCCTCGACACAATCCTGTCTCGGAGCTCTAGGGACAATTCCTTCGACCTCATGGCTTGGTTTTTGCTCTGACATGCACTGACCTTATATAGACAGGTGTGTGCCTTTCCAAATCATGTCCAATCAATTGAATTTCACAGGTGGACTCCAATCAAGTTGTAGAAACATCTCAAGGATGATCAATGGAAACAGGATGCGCCTGAGCTCAATTTAGAGTCTCATAGCAAAAGGTCTGAATACTTATGTAAATAAGGTATATGTTTTACATGTATTATTATAAATTTGCAAACATTTCTAAAAACCTGTTTTTGCTTTGTAATTATGGGGTATTGTGTGTAGACTGATGAGGAACATTTTTTATTAAATACATTTTAGAATAAGGCTGTTGCGTAACAAAATGTGGAAAAAGTCAAGGGGTCTGAATACTTTCTGAATGAACTGTATATGGGTGGACTGTATGTCCGTGCCTACCTGGTTAGCATAGCGTATATGTGTGGACTGTATGTCCGTGCCTACCTGGTTAGCATAGCGTATATGTGTGGACTGTATGTCCGTGCCTACCTGGTTAGCATAGCGTATATGTGTGGACTGTACGTCCGTGCCAACCTGGTTAGCATAGCGTATATGTGTGGACTGTATGTCCGTGCCAACCTGGTTAGCATAGCGTATATGTGTGGACTGTATGTCCGTGCCTACCTGGTTAGCATAGCGTATATGTGTGGACTGTATGTCCGTGCCTACCTGGTTAGCATAGCGTATATGTGTGGACTGTATGTCCGTGCCAACCTGGTTAGCATAGCGTATATGTGTGGACTGTATGTCCGTGCCAACCTGGTTAGCATAGCGTATATGTGTGGACTGTATGTCCGTGCCTACCTGGTTAGCATAGCGTATATGTGTGGACTGTACGTCCGTGCCAACCTGGTTAGCATAGCGTATATGTGTGGACTGTATGTCCGTGCCTACCTGGTTAGCATAGCGTATATGTGTGGACTGTACGTCCGTGCCAACCTGGTTAGCATAGCGTATATGTGTGGACTGTATGTCCGTGCCTACCTGGTTAGCATAGCGTATATGTGTGGACTGTACGTCCGTGCCTACCTGGTTAGCATAGCGTATATGTGTGGACTGTATGTCCGTGCCTACCTGGTTAGCATAGCGTATATGTGTGGACTGTATGTCCGTACCTACCTGGTTAGCATAGCGTATATGTGTGGACTGTATGTCCGTGCCTACCTGGTTAGCATAGCGTATATGTGTGGACTGTATGTCCGTGCCTACCTGGTTAGCATAGCGTATATGTGTGGACTGTATGTCCGTGCCTACCTGGTTAGCATAGCGTATATGTGTGGACTGTATGTCCGTGCCTACCTGGTTAGCATAGCGTTCCTCCTGGTGTGTGTTATCACACACACAGCCCTGCTGCCTCAGCTGTTCCAGCCTGTGCTCCAACTCCCTCTGTTCCTCCCTCACCTGCCCCAGCCTGTGGGCATGCTCAGTGTGGACCGCCTCCAGCTCACTCTGCAGCGCACACTGCTCTGCTGCCAGCTGCTGCAGCCTGGCAGCCTCGCCTCCACGCAGCGCCTCCAACTCCTACACACACACACACAGAGATACAGGATGATCAGTTACATTTCCTGATTGATACCCCTATGGTTTATGTTAGTTGTTCAGTTACTGGATCAATTCAAAGCAAAGCTAAAACGGTGCACTATAAATGAGGAATGATTACTAATGTAATATGTTGAATTCAATCAAATGAGGTGACTCAAAATTGAAAGACAACCAGCTGGCGTTGAGTGTTACTGCTGGACAGGAACAAATTAGAGCAGTCCTGGGTTTTTTTTTTTTTTCAGGCTGGAGTTAACCATCTCTAGTTGTCTGTAGTGTCTCACCATCTCTAGCTGCAGCTGCTTTTGCAGGGTGGAGTGCAGCTTCTCCTGCTGTCTGCTGTACATCTGAACGATCTCCACTACGATCCTTTCCTTGTCGTCCTCACAGACAGAAGACAGGACATCTTTACTCCCCTGTCACCGCGGCTACCGCTACAGCAGAAGAACTCTTGTTTCCGGGGCTGGTCTCCATGGAAACTGGCTGCTGGCGGTCCCGGTCGGCGGCAGGAACAACGCACTGCTGAGACTTAGCGTCGTTGACAACGGGAGGAGCTGGGGGAGAGGCATGGCGATCTGAGGAGCGAGACGGGGAGGAGGAGGACGAGAGGTTGAAAGATGGAAGGTTAAGGTTAGAATTAGGGTAAGGGGTTAGTGGTTAAGTTTAGGGTTAAGGTTAGGGGTTAGGGAAAATAGGATTTTGAATGAAAATGATTTGTAGATCCCCACGAGGATGGAAGAACATAACGTGTGTGTGTGTGGTACTGACCCATAGCAGTCTCTTCATGGTCGTGGGCCAGTCTCCTACTGTAGTGGTGTTTGAGCAGCACCCTCAGAACCTCAGGGCTGACCTCCGGCTGATCCCTCAGAGACACGTTAGGAGCCACCATCTTATCATATGTATATAGGTAGTAACTAGACAGGGAGAGAGCGAGCGAGCGAGAGAGAAAAAGACAAAGAGCAAATGTCAAATAGGCTTTTTACCAAATTACTGTACGACAGACCACGTATTCACCCTGCACACCCTAATTGCTTGAGACTCAATTTAGCATGAGGGTCTGCTATACAAATTGATGAAACACTCATTTTTAACATTGCACTTTAGTAGCAACCTTCGTAAAAACCATTGACCAGCCCTGGTCAGGTGGTCTGGGTCTAAAGTCGGACATGTCCCAATGAGGGGGTCAGTTGTAATCCCGCGGTCTAGCCTGCCTGTGTCTACCCTGTGGTCACGTCCTGCCCCGCCTCCTGTAATCCAGCTAATCTCAGCATTCATCTGGACCAGATTAATGAGCGGTAGACCACAGCTTCCCACTGACACACGCAAAAGGTAGGTCCAACTGGGAGGTAGGGTAGGAAGCAGAGCAGGGTTTCAGCACTGCTCTAGCAACACTTCCTAGGAAGTTGCTTGGAAACGTACTTGGCATGGGCAAGTTCTTCCAACGAGGAAGAAACATAGCTAGCCAGTCCCCAAATCCTCAAAAGATTAGCCTCCATTGTGGAATAAAAGAGATCCAAATAAGCAAACAAATGTACCACGGTGGGGTGGTAGAACGTTGTGGCAGGGGGTAAGGGACAGGGCATTAAGGGCAGTAAAAGGGTTACATACCTGGGGTGACTGGGCTCTTCCTTGATGTGGGGGAACGCCAGACAAGCCTGGGCTTGGCCTTCAGCCTGCAAACACAATAATAAACCCTTTAAATATACGTATTCATGTATTGTTTCTTCTTTGCATGTAGATAAAACCATAAAGAGAGACATCGGTAGATGCATAATCGTATATAATATCTGAATGTCAATGTTTGTAGCTATAATTGTGCGCGTGTGTGTGTGTGTGTGTGTGTGTGTGTGTGTGTGTGTTTGAGAAGATTGTGATAAAGACGCATGGCTCTTTCAACAGCTGTGTGTGTTTAGGGGAGGATGGTGTGAGGGGTTGAGAGAGAAGAGGCTCTTTCAACAGCTGTGTTTAGGGGAGGATGGTGTGAGGGGTTGAGAGAGAAGAAGAGAGTGAGCATGGCCTTTGAATGCGTGAGGAGAGGGGTGGGGTGGGGTGGGGTGGGGGGGGGGGGGGGGGGGGGGGGGTGTGCCATTTCAATAGGGGAATGTGTTAGGGCCTGAACCCAGTGTGTGGGGTTACGTGCTTAGGGGGACTGACGATTCGGGTGATGGGGGTTGGCGTAAGATTAGGGGTAGTGTTGTCACGATAGCAGAACTTTGACTTGGATACCAGGTTTAGCATCACGCTACTCGATACCGTCACGATATAGAAATATCAAAACAATACCACAGCAAAAAAAAAAGGCTTATTAGCCAAAGTCACAGAATGGCCCTTGATCCAGACGGATCTGTAGAGTTCAATATCATGACATTTGACATTTTTGAATGTATGCATTAATTCATCAATTAAACTTCTTTTTTTTTACCAATCTAACTACTTAATGGTAATAATTTCCTTACATCCGCAATAAGATCTTCTAAATATGTGTATGCAACCAATAACATTTGATTGGTAAATCTCTCGTCTATTGATAAACTGGGTAAATCAAGATGTAGCCTATTCCCAATACAGGTGAATGCATATTCAATAGGAGTGTGTGAATGTATTGAGTTATTGATCTTGTTTTGGCTGATTTCATGGAGCTACAGATGACAATCTGTTTCCCTTCCATTTGGGACTTTTGTATTGATCAACAACATTTGCATAGAAGAAGAAATGTCTTATTTTATAAAAGTGTGTGATGTCTCTTTAAGACCCATGATCATTCACACACAGTAGGTTCCAGGCTCAAGCAAAGATGATCTTGACTGACTGGGAGAGACATGAGGCGCGGGGGACAAAGTGAATGGATAAGGTTTTTGGTGCCAAATCAGCAATATTTAGCATTATGGTATCACAAGCAAGGTACTAGGGTAGTGAATTGATGTTAGCTTCAGCTGTAAGCTAGCAAGGAAAGTTAGCCTACAAAAGCAGGAAGCTACCGGGATCTTCTCGCTTTGTAACGTGTTCTAGCCTATAAAACGGACATTGTTTTGTAAAACAGTAAATGAGCAATTTGAACATTTCTACATGCCGCGTTGCATTATTCAAGCTTGTTAAATTCTGTGAAGCATGAGCGGTGATGCAGCCCAGACTCCCAGTGTGTTCAGTGGTTCCTCAGGACAGGCTAGTGCTAGCAATGAGGAAGTGGAGCACGGAGCTATCACGCTATAAGTGGCTGTGCTTTTAGAAAGACTTGATTCTCTCTCAAAAATCGGTACACGACGTGAGACACATTTGACAGAAGTACCGAAAGTAACTAACCATTGTTCATGTTCTAGTATTATTATTTTTTTTTTTTTTAAGTACAGACGTTTCGGTATACCGTGGAACAATAGTTAGGGGGAGGGGTCAGTGTAGTCAATTCAACTGGCTACGTCGGCAGCGTGAGCAGTACGCCGCTTCCTGTGTGTGTCGTACCTTGGGTCGCTGCGTCGTTGTCGGCTAGTTTACTGTTAAGAGAAAGAGGTTCTGGAGGAGATGATCTCACCTCCCTGTCCTCCTCTACCACCTTCTGAAACACAGAGACAGACAGACAGACAGACAGAGAGAGTTAGACCCTGAGACAGAGGTAGGCCTCCGAAGGCTATGACGAGGAACAATTACAGTGAGGTAAAAGTACCACCGAAAGAGGGAGTTAGCCAGAGGCTTCCACTCTTCCTCTATACATGATTTACCAGGATGCACACAATCACACGGGTGTCACACACTCTTGCAAGTTCCAACTGCACTGAAACAACAAACATAAAGGACAGATACCTGTAGGATATAGAGGCCTGCAGGATATAGAGGCCTGTAGGATATAGAGGCCTGCAGGATATAGAGGCCTGCAGGATATAGAGGCCTGTAGGATATAGAGGCCTGCAGGATATAGAGGCCTGCAGGATATAGCACGGAACAATTACAGTAAAGTATTTTACCACAGGAGAGAGACCGATTCAAAAGATAATTCAAAATTGGCAGAATATCTCTTACTCTGTCAGAAAGACAAAACAGAGACACATCCTGACCAAATACAGGCTCAGCGACCATCACTTGGCTAAAGAAAAGGTGAGACACAAAAAGACATTGCTACCCAAAGAGGGGCGTCCATGAGGTCACTGAACGACCGGGGAGGTAGAGACAGAGACGCACTTTTTCCTTTACTGTGAGAAATACTCCCAAATAAGAGTATTTTTTCAAGAAAACCTCTCAATCAATTTTCCCCAATTTCTGCGCATATGCTAATGACATAAAGCTGGTAATTATTCTTGGTGAGGGAGAAACCGCAAAATGTTCCTGACAGGTGTGTCAAATCAAATCTTCTTATTGGCCACATGCGCCGAATACAACAGGTGTAGACATTACAGTGAAATGCTTACTTACAAGCCCTTAACCAAACAGTGCAGTTTTAAGAAAATACAAAAAAAGTGTTAAGTAAAAAAACAGATAAGTAAAAAATGGCAAATAATGAAAGAGCAGCAGTAAAATAGGATAACAGTAGGGAGGCTATATATACACAGGGGGTACCGGTACAGAGTCAATGTGTGGGGGCACAGGTTAGTCGAGGTAATATGTACATGTGGGTAGAGTTAAAGTGACTATGCATAAATAATAAACAGAGTAGCAGCAGCGTAAAAGAGGGGGGATGGGGTGGGGTGGGGGGGCAGTGCAAATAGTCTGGGTAGCCATGATTAGCTGTTCAGGAGTCTTATGGCTTGGGGGTAGAAGCTGTTAAGAAGCCTTTTGGACCTAGACTTGGCACTCCGGTACCGCTTGCTGTGCGGTAGCAGAGAGAACAGTCTATGACTAGGGTGGCTGGAGTCTGATAATTTTTAGGGCCTTCCTCTGACTCCCCCTGGTATAGAGGTCCTGGATGGCAGGAAGCTTGGCCCCAGTGATGTACTGGGCCATACGCACTACCCTCTGTAGTACCTTGCGGTCGGAGGCCGAGCAGTTGCCATACCAGGCGGTGATGCAACCAGTCAGGATGCTCTCGATGGTGCAGCTGTAGAACCTTTTGAGGATCTGAGGTTCTTTTCAAAATATGATTGCCATAGCCTGAGGGACATCCCATGACCGTTCATTCCTTGAAGTATTTACATTGTACAGCGCATTCGGAAAGTATTCAGACCCCTTGATTTCTTCCACATTTTGTTACGTTACAGCCTTATTCTAAAATTGATTAAATTGTTTTTATCCCCGAATCTACACAAAATAACAATGACAAAGCAAACAGGTATTAAAAATAAAAAAACAGAAATATCACATTTACATAAGTATTCAGACACTCAGTACTTTGTTGATGCACCTTCGGCAGCGATTACAGCCTCAAGTCTTCTTGGGCATGACCCTACTTGGCACACCTGTATTTGGAGAGTTTCTCCCATTCTTCTCTGCAGATCCTCTCAAGCTCTGTCAGGTTGGATGCGGAGCGTCGCTGCACAGCTATTTTCAGGTCTCTCCAGAGATATTAGATCGGGTTCAAGTCCGGGCTCTGGTTGGGCCACTCAAGGACATTCAAAAGACTTGCCCCAAAGCCACTCCTGCGTTGTCTTGGCTGTGTGCTTAGGGTCGTTGTCCTGTTGGAAAGTGAACCGTCGCCCCAGTCTGAGGTCCTGAGCGCTCTGGAGTAGGTTTTCATCAAGGATCTCTCTGTACTTTGCTCCGTTCATCTTTCCCTCGATCCTGACTAGTCTCCCAGTCCCTGCCGCTGATAAACACCCCCACAGCATGATGCTGCCACCACCATGCTTTACCGTAGGGATGGTGCCAGGTTTCCTCCAGACGTGACGCTTGGCATTCAGGCAAAATAGTTCAATCTTGGTTTCACCAGCTCAGAGACTCTCGTTTCTCATGGTCTGAGAGTCTTTA